GAACATTACAACCTTCACAACAGACCAAGACTAGTTCAGCGAGGTGTACCTAATAAACTGCCCAGGCCATGTTATTCATGAAACAGACGATATGTGTGTCTCTCGTCTGTCCAAGGAGACAAACAGGCAGCAACAAAAGACACATTTCCCTTTAACGTGATAATTATTAGTGTCGTAAAACAAAACATAGCTGCTTAACTTTTTACAAGGCACATCGAGACAAGTGTGGATAATAGGGGGGCTCGCTGTCAACACTAACACACATTTTTTTAGTGACAGTTTTAGTGACAGTAATTATCAGTTTTGAGTGCAGAGCTTTGGTGGAAGAAGAAGCTGAAAAATGTAATAAAGGAACAATAGGAATTCTTACACCAACATTAAGTCAAAAATCATTAAAGAAGAGACACAGAGAGAAGAAGCGACATGTTCACGTCAAAATGAGATTTTTGAAAACTGTGGAAAACCGCAATGGGAGTTTTGTCTCTTTTCTCTGCATAGAATATGGAAAAATTAGTCATGAATAACAAATTAAGATTTCCTAAGTAAAGTAGATAAATCTTATCAGCTGCTTTCTTGTGAGGTGAAGAATATTTGTGATTATCTGCCTGATTTTATTTCTAATGTGAACGCACAAAGGAAACCGAAAAATAAACCTGCAATGTAGAAAGTCTGCTCTGGTTTTATTAAAGTATGCCTTTGTGTGCTTCTCTTTCTCTCCCTCCCTCCCTCATGTTGTTCTCTTGTTTCTCATCAGTCAATATTGTCCCAGCAGTTAAAAGTTGAAGTAACATCTAAGCCGAAACTAAAAAGCAAGCCCTTCCAGTTGGGGGACTGTCTTGCGTCCTGATGGAGACACAGATGACAGTGCTGTCATTTAGTGGCGTGGAGCCTTGAAGTTTCCAGGTACAATTATTGGTGACAGCAGATGAGCAGTGATGCAACACTCTGCTATGTTGATTACTGTATGTTTACCAACCAAAACATGAATGGAGGTATTGATGAAGACCAGGGAAGATGCTAAGTGTTAGGACACATTTGGCTTTGCAGAGACGAGGAGGGACTCAACTCGCTCCCCTGTCATTACTGACGCATGGTTATCATTTAAATTCCCCTTTCGTCAAGGTTCATGCTTTATTCTCTGAGAATACGAGGCAAACGTTGTGAAAAACGTCCTATCCTGCATTTAAAGGAAGGAAGTAACCAAAATGTCATGGGTTCTTTCTCAGGTTCTGCCCCCACACCTCAACAAAATTTCAGAGAATTGGTTGTGTAATCCTGCTAAAAATCCAACAAACGCAGATGAAAAACAATATGAAAAAGTAAAACTGTGACGTAGTTGCTCACTCTAATTCCTCACCTTCCTCTTCCTCCTCTTCATCTTTAAGACTGAGATAGAAACATAGAGAATGACATCAGCAGTATTATCTAAATGTAAAAACATATTATATAGACACAAATCAGGGGAGTGACACCGTACTTTTGAAACAACGGCAGAGAACATTACAGCAGGTCATTTCCAGAAAGTGACTCAGTCGGCATCATGCAAAACAACCCATCACACACACCCTCATTACCCAATAACCCCCAGCAACTCAATCTTATCAGTTTATTCCACAACGTGCATCGAGAGTAACAATCCACCTGACATATGTCCTGTTGCTGACATAGACTAGTGCAGCAACACTCTTGGGAAAGAAACAGGACATTGAGTAAGAAACTCATAACTCATAAGAAAGATGCTCTGAGGAGATCAAACCTTTTAAAGCCACGACCGAGCCCCAGCAGGAGGTGAGTATCCTGACTGGTTTATTCTCATGGACAGAAATAAATAGAGGAGTTGTACTTTTAATACAAGGGATGAAATATGTTTGTATTCATGCGAGGAAATGAAATAACTCAAACAAATAAAAGAAGAAAATGCTGCTTTTCTCAGGTTAATAGACTGACTGGGTTTACTGCTACAGTCTTATCTGGTCTGCACATGCTATTAGTAAACTTTAATAAATTAGCTGAGGAGTCAGTTCAGTGTCTTGAAAGTGTAGGTGAGGCTGCGGTTGCAAAAGCGGTTTCAAAATTACTCTAACTCTGCACAATGCAACTTCCCAAATTATGGGGAACAGCTGTCATATAGTTCATCTGTTTGTTCTGCTTTTCCAATATTTTAAAGAAGAGTTTTAATTTTGCAGTATCAATCTTGTTTTTCATCCACAGTCATGTCAATCATCTTTGAATTTTCTGACAATTTCTACGACCTGCTGAATGAAAGCACCAACAACAACCTAACGCTCATCATCGATCCAAGCAAGTTAATATGTGAGCTGAAGCCTCTGGAGCCCACAGCAGCCGTGACCCTGTGCGTCTTCCTCATCGCCATCTTCTTACTGGCAATACCAGGGAACCTGTTGGTGGGGTGGGTGATCAGCACCAGCAAACAGAACCTGACCCCTTCGGATGTGTACCTGTTTCATCTGACAATAGCTGATGGCCTGATTGCGCTCACCCTCCCGTTCTGGGCTGTGGCATTCGTCCAGGGATGGCTCTTCGGAGGCTTCATGTGCAAACTCCTCAGGCTCGTCATCGAAGCCAACTTCTACACCAGCATCATTTTCCTGGCCTGCATCAGCATCGACCGCTACCTTGTGATCGTGCACTCCAGCGAGACTCTCAAGAGCCGCCAGAGGATGTGCAGCCGGCTCCTCTGCGCAGCCGTCTGGGCCTTCGGCTTGGCCCTCGGCCTGCCGGCGCTTTTCAACGAAGCCACCCAGTTCAACCCGGACTCGGACAGGATGATCTGTGCTGAAAGCTTTGACGTCGGCAGTGCCAGCTCCTGGAGGATCTCCACGAATGGGTTCCGCCACATTTTCGGCTTCTTGCTGCCTCTGGGTGTCATGATTGTCTGCTACAGCATCATCACAGTGAGGTTGCTGCGTACACGCGGTTTCCAGAAGTACAGAGCCATGAAGGTCATTGTGGCCGTGGTGATTGCGTTCCTACTCTGCTGGGTGCCGTACCACATAACCATGATCATAGACACGCTCATGAGGGCAAATGTGATCTTGTTTGACTGTGCGATGAGGATGTCGTTGGACCTGGCTCTGCGGGTGACCAACAGTCTGGCTCTGCTGCACAGCTGCATCAACCCGGTCCTCTACGCGTTCGTGGGCGAGAAGTTCAGGAAGAAAGTGCTGCTGCTTTTTCAGAAGAAGGTCAGAAAAGAGAGGGCCTCATTGTCAAGGTTCAGCAGGTCCACGTCTCAGACCTCAGAGGGAAACGGAATTTTTTTTTAAAGACTTTTCACATTTTTATTCTTATTTGCTTATTTGAGTTTTTATCCCGGAAAGAAAGAGTTACGACAACTGCAAGATGTTCTAGAAATGCAGGAACCCCCCTCTGGAAAAGTGGTCATGCAATTCGGTAACCCTAGGTGGCAGTGCAGGAACCCCCTACTTGCAAACATATTTTAAAGTGATCTCCAAGACACAGCAATGTCACCAAATTTACAAAGTAGTAATTTATCTATAAAAGGTCTGCAGGACGTTTTTCAGTTCAGCCTCTGTGCTTTATGTGGCTCACTGCTGCCACCTGTTGAACTCACCATCACATACAATACATCCACTATTCAAAACCTTGATCTCCAGTCTCCTGTTTTTTTCTGTGCATGATGCTCCTATGTTCTGTGTCCTTGTGTTTATTTATGCATTCGATTTATACACCAGCTTTAAAGTTTGTATCTATTTCTGTCTGTTTGCAATAAAAGTGAAAAGCTCTGCAACCTTCTTTCAAATTTATTCCTGTAGACTTGTCGCTGGTTCATATTCTCAGGGTCTTGTATAATAGCTCATCTGTGTGAATGAACTTTGAATATACTTAAAATGCTGGGCAAACTGCATCTGCTGATCGAGATCATGATTTAAAAAAAAGTCAAATGTTTTAAATGGAGGAATATTGTGCAGTGACTCTAATTCCAGATACTGAATATTATTGAGTTTCGAAATTTCAGGCAGTGGTACATTTTAAATGTGTGGAACCATCACAATGTTTTATAATTTAATATCATAACCTCTTCTCCTGCAGTTATTAATCCTTCAAACAATCAGAGGATTATTTGTGTGGCTGCAACATTTTCTGTCAACATTTCTTGTTATTTTGCAGAAGAATATTTAAGAAGTAGCTTCTGACCTCTCTTCATTTGTCCATCTGAGACCAAAAACCCTCTAGAAGCATCCAGAGTGGGACATCATCTTGCAGTATAACATCCATAGTCCTAATAACAGAGCAAAAAGACAGAATATTCTCTTGACTTTATTCTTTTTTTCTGTTTACATCCAATGGCAGTGCAACATCCTCAAGTGCTGTGTACTTAAATTTCACCGATTCTTCAAAAATAACCAACAAACAAAAAATACAAAATGAGACACATAAGAAACTTAAAGTGATTTACAAAAACAACTATTTTTCTCCAGTGTTAAGACTCATGATCCCAAAAGAAGAGCAGCAGCAACATGAGCAAAATATTGAATGATGACTCAGGAGCCGTCATCAGATTGCAAGCAAGACATCAGACAGGACGAGAGCCGGTATCTTCTAACAGCAGACTGGTCTGGGACAGCGTGGAATCGACTGGACCGGCCTGTGTCAGAGTTCGGACTGTCCTGCATTGGACTCTTCATCGTGTCGGGTCTGTCGACGCTCCGCAGAGGAGAAGACGTGGATCTGGTCTGTGCCGGGTGGTGTTTGTGCTGAGCTGCTGACTCATCCGCCGGTCGAGTGGAGAAGCCGATGCTCGTCTGTGATTGGTCAGGTTCTGTTTTCTGACTGTTGGACTGACTGAGCTCATTGGTCTGATGATGTGATGGACGCAGAGGAGAGTAGTCGTCAGAGGTGGAGCTAAAACAGGAAAGAAACGTTAGTAAAACAGTGAAGATGTGGAGAAGCATAAACAAAGAGGTACATGTGGTCGTAAATACACTCTTTCCAAATCACAAACAATTGTTATTTTATACATTTGTTCTTTTTCTCATATACACTGTACTAAACCTGCTGATATACACTTGTTTTCATACTCTACAATCCAGTTGTTTGTTTAATTTCATTGGTTGCATCTTAATTTGGAGGAAAGTGGTTCAGCGCACCTGTAGAATGATGTGTGAAGACCAGAGGAGGGGGACGATGATGGGGGCCGGTTGTGTTTGTGTGGACTTTCCATGAGCACATATTCATCCTGAGGCGACACAGATGAGCTGCGGCTGCCCTGTGGAGACATCATCATGTACCCCAGCCCTTTCTCTTCCTCCTCCTCCTCTTCCTCCTCCAGCTCCCAGCTCTCTAACCTGCGGGCTGCATCACCGCAGTGCTCGGTCTTCATCTCCATGTAGCTGCCGGTCTCAGGCACGGAGCTCCGCTGGGATCCGACAGCATTTAGTTTGCTGGACCTGACATGAGACTGCGTTGGACTCGTCTGGATGTCAGTGTTTCTGGGAGATAGCGTCAGTGGCCTCACGTTAACCGACTTGTCTCTGTATTTATTTCTGCTGCGTTTTGCCAGCAGAAGTGCTTGAGGCTGGCTGGAGGTCGGCGACTGGCTGAAGTCTGGCAGAGCTCGTAGAGCGTGGACTGTTGCCCGAACCACCTCGTGAATGTGCTGGGCAATTCCTGGGTTTCCTGGACAATACAGACATGAAGAGGAGGGTCACTGTCCTATGGTCAAGAGTTTTAGAGCCACTAAAACTGAAACATTTGGAAACACTTTAGTCTGGATGGGTAGAGATCTGTTATCAGGGTGTGTTAGTATGGAAGGGATCAAAACTGAAACGGTGCCAAAAAGCTTGTGAGGACAGTTTGAAAACATAGTATTATGGATGTAGCCTTCACTACCTTGGTCTCCTGCTTCCATCCAGATTTCTCCAGGGCCGTCAGGTGCCGACCTGCCGAGCTCCAAGAAGAACAAGCCGTCCAGATGGCCGAAGCGCCGAACGCTCAACAAAGGTATCGTAACCGACGGCAAATCACTGTATGCGCCCAGTTTGACCAGGATGAGCGAGGATGCTGTGAGGCAGAGCCGCGTCTCTCCACCGAGGGACTTTGAGCGACCAAGACCTCTGGGCTTCACCAAGACAGGCCACACCTTAGACGAAGCAGAGATGAAGATCCGTCTGGGGTATTTTCATTTTCATTTAAATTCTGTTTATTTAGAGTCGACTCAAATCTGGACGCACCTCTTTGAAAAATCCAGCAGGGGGCAGCGTGCAATACCCATCATCCTCTTCATCAATATGCTCTTCATCCCTCCGCTCTTCCTCCATCAGTTTCTTAATGGCAACGTACCACTCGTCTTGTTCCTGCTGGTCCTCCACAACCAGCACCATGGTCTGATCCTTTGCATACACCGCCACCGTGTGTCCTTTCCTGGAACTGCCGGTCCGACTCACACCGAGACAGCACCTCAGGTAAATCACCCTGAAGGAAAATCAGTTGAAATTATTGTAGATTTGAATGATCAGTTGTTTCAAGTGTTTGTCATATTGAAAAATGTCTAACCCTTGCTTGCTCGATCCAAAGAGCGCAGCTTTGCCGGCAGACTTCCTCATCGCTGTGAACTTCTCCTGGCTTTTGTACCACTCGAGCCGGCTCGGCCCCATGTGGCTTCCCGCTCTCAGGACAAAATATCTCCTGTGGCTTCGCTCCAGCTTCCCCAGGTAACCTTGTTTCACCACGTCGCTCTGCGGCCAGGAGGAGGCCATGAGGGCGCCGGCCAGAGGTGTCAGAGGGACTGAACCCTGGCTGGAGCAAAACAGTTCCTCAAAGACACACGGTGAACGAGGCTCACTTGTCTGCATCCCAACTCGATGGTGCCCGGAATCGTCATCCTGCTCCATTTGATCACTCAAGCAGCGAGATTCAACTGGCAGCCATGTTTGGGATGATTTGCAGCAAGGGGACGACACTGGGGAGCTGGAGGCAGGCGAGGGTGTCCCGCGGCTGTCACACCCGTCAGCCATCTCTTTCATTTCAAGCTGGAAACCTGCACACGGGAAGAATTACTGAGATGTCTGAAACAGCTTCTGCTTAAAGTTCTCACTACTGTTTCCACTTACATCTGCGATCACTGGGAATATTTTGTATTTGATTCTGTCCTAAGTCCAGTTCAAGGTGTAATAACTCACAGTAGTGTCATATTTTCATAAAAGGTCTGGACCTTCTATGTAACGTGACTTCAGATGATCTATATTATGATTTGGCGCTTTACAAATAGAATCAGTGTTGCTGCACAGTACATCAGATTTATTTGAATTTGAATTTCATACAATCTCATGGCAAATGCTTTGGGAAAGGATAAACAGGGAGATTTCGCAAATTTAAGAATTCAAAAAATTAATATTGACCTTAAAATAGCTGTTTAAGTTCATGTCAATAAAAAAACCACAATATCCAGTATTATAAGAATAAGAAATTGGGGGAAATGTCTACTGTTAACACTAATCTAATCTTCTAATATAAAAACAAGGGAGAACATTTTAGAGAGCTGAACCTCCACCAAAGTAAACAAGCTAACACAAGCTAGTCTAGCGGGCTAACCTTAGCTAGGATAGCTAACTTTAGCTCGGCTTCCAGAAACCTTAAGGACACACGATCGAGTTTGAATCTCACCTGCAGCGGACACGTGTCAACAACAGAAAGCACAGAAACAAACAGAGGATCCTGGAGTTTCTTCTCGTTTCATTTCGTTTCTGTTTAAAGATGCCTCAGGTGGATCATCACCGAGGCCTTCAGGAACTCCTCGGAAAACCCAGCACTCTTGTCTTAGAAGCATTGAACGTTGAAGCGTTCATGTTTAAAATGTGTATCGTGTACGTTAATGCAGCGTAAAACACACGTGTCCACTCCATGTGTCCGTGTCACTGATCCGTCTGCGTCATTTAAATGAGTTCAAAATATAAAAGTAAACAAAACAAGTGCCCCGTGTGAGGCTCGAACTCACGACCTTCAGATTATGAGACTGACGCGCTGCCTACTGCGCCAACGAGGCGTCGAATGCAACTGGAAGAGCAAGTAAAAAATTGTTTGTTGTGAAATAATCTGTGTTGTACTGGCCGGGAATCGAACAGTTGACATGTAACGTCAACAAAGTATGGAGGACGAGAAATGACTTAAGTAGAAATAAATGTAGAAATAAATGTGGAAATAAATAAATAAATGCGGAAATAAATGTGGAAATAAATAAATAAATGCGGAAATAAATGTGGAAATAAATAAATAAATGTGGAAATAAA